TTATGCAGTCTTCTCTTTTCTGTGGTGTTTTCTTGTAGGTCTTACTTACTTACATTATCTTTCTTTGTGTGTGTCTCTCTCTCTCTTTCTGTACAACGAACCTTTTTCCCGCTGCTTTTTTTTGTTTTGTTCTCGCATTTGTGTTTGGTTTTAAAGATTTCTTTCTTAATTTGTCTTTCTCTCTCTCTCTCTCTTTGTCTCTATCTCCGTCTCTTGTTGATTTGTTGCTTTCTTCGCGTTCTCTCGCTCTCTTTCTCTGTCTCCGTCTCTGTCTCCATCTCCGTGTCCGTCTCTTCTTCTTTGTTTATTTTCTTTCTTTGTTTCTTGCTTTCTTTCTTTGTTTCTGTCTTTCTTCCTTTCTGTTTGTCACTTTTTGTCTTTCTTTCTTTCGTTCCTGCTTTCTTTATATTATTCCTTTATTCTTGTGACTTGTTTCTCTCTTTCTTTTCCTTTGTTTCCATGTTTTCGTTATTTGTATATTTTCGCCGCCTTCATCTTTATCTATCTACTTTTTTACTTTCCCGTTTTCATTTTTACCTGTCTCCTTCTTTGCATCTCTCTTTTTATGTTTCTGCTTTGCTTAGCATTTAGTTTTTGTGTAACGTTTTCTTTTCTGTAGTGTTTTCTTGTAGGTCTTACTTATTTGGTCTTTCTTTGTGTGTCTCTCTGGCTCTTTCTGTATCCCGGTATTTATTTATCTTTGCTTTCATTTATGTAGCTATTTCTTAATTTGTTTTCTTTCTCCATCTCTCTCTCTCTCTCTTTCTCTCTCTTTCTTTACACTTGTTCCTCTCTTTCTCTCCTCTTTATGTTTCTCTTTCTCTGTCTCCGTCTCTATCTCCGTCTCTTCGTTAGTTGTCTCTTTTTCTCTATCTATCTGTCTATCTGTCTCGCTTTATTTGCATCTTTTTATGTCTCTTTCTGTTTCCCTCTCTTTTTCTCTCTCTTCTTCTTCTTCTGCTCCTTTCTTTCTCTGTGCCCTTCTCTTCTTTCTGCGTCTCTTTGTTTATGTGTCTCTATTCTGTCCTCTATTTTTGTCTTCTTTTTTGGCTTTCTCTTTATCTTGCTCTCTCCCTCCCTCTCCCTCTCCTTCGTTCTGTCTCTCTCTCTCTCTCTCCCTCTCTCTTTTTTCTTCCTTTGTTTGTTGCTTCTTCTTTCTCTTGATATCTCTCTTTCGCTTTCTGATGCTTTTCTTGTTCTTCCATTGTTTCTCTTTCTCTTTATCCTACTCTGTCTCTTTCTCTTCTCTTTCTCTGCCTCCGTCTCTTCTTTCCTTGCCTCTTGTTTCTCTGTTTCCTTTTCCTGTTCTTCTTTCCCCCCTCTCTCTCTCTCGTTCTCTTTGTCTGTGTTGTTTTCTTCTTTCTTACTCCTCTCTTTCTCGCCAGCCCAGAAAGGTGAAAAATGCAAGAAGCAGTGGGTTCTCTCGAGGCTGCTACCGGAAGTCTGCAGAGGGTTGTGCGAAGGAACTGAAAAGCGCAAAAACCGCGAGTTGTGTTTTTTTCAAGCGCAGGTGCAAGCTGTCCAAGAGAGAACTATGCCAATTAGTTCCAGTACTGCGGTGTTCCTTCTAAACTTTTTGTTGACCTTTGACCATGGTTTGGTGAAGTGGCTGTGGGCCAAAACCAATAGTACCATTTTGGGGTAGGTGCACCACCCATTTTGGTCTATTTTACTGGGGATTGGGATGTTCACTGGGAGTACGGGGTTTTGACCCATAAGAACAACAACGCCAAGCCGCTGAAACTCTCGAGGGTAGTTCTTCTTGACCTTCTTCCTCAGAGGCATCCACGTCATCTTGAACATTTCTGGCGGCTCCATGAGAAAGGAGCTCGCGTAAGCAAATCTTGAGAGGACACGCTCAAAACGCCGACGCGTAAGCGATGCGTAAGCTTAATATGCTCGCTGACTGCCGCGTAAGCTAAAACATAGGTCGCGTAAGCAACTTGATGCGACATAGGGATTCATGGGAGGTTTATAGAGTGGCTGACTTGTCTCTTGTTCACCTGTTCTCTCTTTCTCTGGTTCTCTCTTGCCTCTCTCTCTCTCTCTTCTCCTTTTTCTGTTTCTCTCGTTCTCTCTCGCTCTCTCTCGCTCTATCTCGCTCTCTCCCTCTCTTTCCCTTTCTCTCCCCCTCTCGATTGGCAGATTGGGGGCATTTGGCGGTTGCTTGTCCGCAGTGGTCCAAACGCTCGGTTTTCTTTCAATTTCTGGGTTGCGCGAGGCCTGTTGCGCTTTTGCAGTGGCTATGGATTGGGGGCCTGTGGAGCTGGGCTTTGGGAAAAAGTGCCGATCGACGCGCAGGCTCGCGCGAAATTTCACCAAGCGAAGAATGGCACGTACAAGACCTCCAAAGTTGAGGCGAGATGAGGCGAGTCTTCCTGTCACTGACAGATCCCGCCGAGTTGTCTCACCTGGCCAATTGTTTTGGCCAGATTCATTTTTGGTTGTCAGCTTGACGTTGTTGTTTTCATTTGCAGGGCGCGTTGACTTTTGCAGTCACTTAACCAAAGTCGACCTTTTGAACGGGTATCGTGTTTTTTTCTCAAGAAGGTCGACCGCTTGTTTGCAGGCTTTTGGACAAATGAGAAGTGCTCGGTCAAGGTATACTTTGGGAAGGCTTGACCAAGTCGAGCTAGGAGGACCCCCTTTTGGTTTGCGCCAATTGAAAAACAAATGGCTGCACAGACCCTCAAGTGGGGCCGTCGTCTCCTTTGTGTTCAATGGACGGTGTCTGTTTCCGTCCAAAAACAACTACCGAAAAAAACAACTACCGAAAATCCAGGGCTTTTTGTTGTCCATGGCCTTTGGGGGTTTCGGAGAATCATGCGGGACGGCTGCAAAGAATGGTCGAAGGCGAATGCAAATGCGTGAGTGCATCGCTTGCATGTGCGAAAGGAAGCAACAGATTTCAAGCGCGGTGCGCGATCGACCGCAGGCTTTGCTATTTGCACAACATATGTAGAACGAGCTCGCTTTCGACGTGACTTGACGAAGGATATACTTAGGGGCTTGCTTTCCTTGCCTTTATCCCAGCGCAAAGTGTTACTCCAAGCAAAACGTCAGCACCCCCGAGCGTTGCGGTTCACCGCGTGGCACTTGCCATCACTTGATGTGGTTTGCTTTGGCAACCCGAGGTGAGCCTTCCGAGGACCTGGGAATTCGTCTTCGTTGTTTTGTTTCTTGGATGGAGGGAAGCCACTTTTGTTTTGGGTGGGAAGGTGGGGGCAGGGGTGATTTTGAGACAAAGCCTGAATGCCCCAGCGAACTCGCGAGCCAAAAGCCTAAAGTCTCCATGACCCCCAAAACACGTGTCAGTACCGCAAAGTCATGTGCGTATGACCTCATTTGTTAGAGTTCATAGAGACTCCAAATAGCAGCAATGACGTATTCAACCATCATGGGTCGCAGCCAGTTTCTTGCGAGGACTTCCTTGCTTTCTTGAAGAATCTGAAGCTCCTACTTTGCTCCTCCAGCAAAGGCCCATCGAACGGGATCTTGCACATGGTTGTGGGATGGAGGGTTGGGCAATCACTTTCTGTGACAGGTGACAAAGTAGTCACATGGGTGTGTCTGTTTTAGGGGACCCCCCCAAAAAAATATATATGTGTTTTTCCGTTGTCCATTAAAAGCCACCAAAACGGGGTACCAACTCTAATGCCCATATATGGATGGCCCAAAGTGGGTATCAAACATCGTGATTTCTTACGATTGTCCCAGACCTCCAGCGCCCTTGTTTCCCAACTTTTCATTTGGAGGGGGTCCCCTTCAAGAAAAGGGTGTCCTCTTTTTTTCCCATGGGGAAATGTGCGTGGGGTCTGTTGTTTTGTTTGTTTTTTTGCTCAGAAAGCTTGGGCGTCCCGCAGAGAGGCAGGTTCCCTTTGTCCCGAAGGTAGGTTGAGGAGATGTTGGGTCTTGGATTTTGGGTCACTTTAAAAGGACGCAGAAACCCGGCAGAGCTTTCTTGGGATGCCGCTGGGTTGATTTGTCCTTGCCGGTGCCCAACATATTGAGCTCCGAGGGGCTCCCAAACTCCCAAGTCTTCGGAGCGTCGCTTTTTGGCGGAAAGGAAACCCGGAGTCTCCTTCTGACCCTTTCATGGGTCAATGACCAACCATCATTTTGGGTACTGACCCCATTTTTTGAGGGTCATGGAGACTCCCGGAACACACTGGCGGCCACACCTTCCTTGATGTTCTGCCACTAGCTGTTGGGTGTTTTTTCAATCGTTTGCCTTGGTGGCCAACTGATCTTTCGGGTGACCCGCGGGTGGATCATGTGTGAAGGCTACTTCCCTTGATGACCCATACATGTAAACTCACTTGAGTTGGACTGGGTCCAGTCGGCTCCCTGGTTGTGTTTGGGTGACTAGTTTTTGATGTAGGTATCGGCTCACGGGGTCGATTCTTGCCAACCCGCACACCTCGACCTCGACTTTACACTTTTTTGGGAGGATAATGTTAGTGGAAGACGTAAAGTTTGCACTTGTTTTGGGCATCCACTCAAGAAGTGAAGCCGGAAGCACTGAACCGGGGTGGTTTGAAGGGTCCTTGCGGCTGGGTAGGTGTAACCCTGGCGGCCGCGGTGGCGATCTGCTACCTAGCGCTTTTCCAGGCACGGCTCCGTCACCCTCCAAAATGTGTGTTTTGCGTGGGAGGTGAAGGCTAGTTTGAGGGTCCAAGTAGAGGGGTTGGTTTAAAGGGAAGCCAGAAGGAAAGTCAAGAAGTTTATGGGGACACCTGTTTGGAGACGCAACACATTTGAGCAATGTCCTCAAAACCCCGTTAGAGGAAGGTAGGACAATCCCAGCCATTGCGGCTATCCGCCCTAGGTCTTAAAACATGGTCTTGTGTGGACCACTTTAGTACCAAGTCCAGGTGTTGATTGCAACTCATTTGAGGTTCGTCAAAATGAGCAGATGGTCGGGATTTGGACTCACGGACTCTTCTGAACCCGGGGGACTCACCGAGAGAAGTTTTGCTCAAACGGCTCACCCGCTCAAGATGTCAGCGAGCCCTAGCCTCTGCTCAGAGTCCTTGGAGGAGCTTGACCGATCTGGCACATCTGATGAGCATGCTGTACAGGCGGCGATCAAGCAGAAGGTGGTGAACTTCATGTCGACCAAGCAGGTGGCTCGAGAGATTTTGCGGTGCACCGAGGCCCACCAGGCGTTCTTTTCCTGCGGGTCAGCTCTGCGGCCGAACGCAGAATGTGGGAACCTGTACAACCGCAGCAGAGCCGTAGATCAGATCCAGGACTTTTGGAGCCACGCGTGGCTCGGGAATTCCTGGGGAAAATTCCTTACGCTCCTGGTGATGTACAATGGCCCAGCCGCTTTGTTTGTGGGTTGTGTTTGCGCCTCGATGGGGGTGGCGCTCTTCCTGCTGGGAATGTTGCCGGGCTCCAACCGGGGCTATCCCGACGACGTCCTCTTTGGCACAGCCGGGTTCTCTTTGTGGGGCCTACCCTTTGGCGTCGTAGGCGTATTTTTGACGCTGGCACTTTTCCGGTCGTCCAAAAGAGTCTTTTTGGATCGCATTTGCATCAGTGATGACCCGGCACTGAAGATGGCAGCCATTGTCAGCTTGCCTGGGCTCCTTCAGAACTCGGATTCTATGCTGGTGCTTTGGGACCCGAATTGGCCATCCAGGCTGTGGTGCGTGTTTGAGCTGGCCGCCTTCCTGAGCCTCAACAAAGGCGCTCCCCGGGTGTGCCCTACCATAATGGGCCCTTGCTCCATTGCGGTTTTTTTCATGGTGGCCTGCGTCATGTCACCGGTGACTTTTTCGCCGCTGCAAGATTACGACCTCACCATGGTCATTTGTTGCGTGGCCGCGGTGGGAGCTTCGACAGCTTGCCCGGCCATTCGCGTGTTCGGAGCCTACTATCGCGCGGTGGAGGACATGGAGAAGACGCTCAGGACGCTGCGCATCATGGATACGAGCTGCTCCTGCTGCGCTTCGGGCCATGTGGGACAGTCGTTTTGTGACAAGGAACTTATCTGCGCATGCATCACGGAGTGGTTTGGGTCCACTGAAGCATTTGAACACTATATCCAAACAGATGTGACGGACGTGCTGGTCCATCAGCTCCAGTGGGGCACCTTTCGCTACAAGTGGAGTTGCGCGGTTGCTGCGCCTGCTCTTTGGGCGTGCCTTGACATAGCATCGTTCCCGTACCAGCGGGAGGACCTGAAGACCACGTTTGTTTGGCTCGGCGCCGGCCTGACCTTAACCTTCATGGCGATCCCAGGCCTAAGCTCCTGGTGCAAGTTCTTGACCTACACCTTCCGCCACGGAGCCAGCTGCCGGCATGAGGTGATGCGGACGTCGCTGGTGATCATTTGCGCCTTGCCATTACTTGCCTATGTCGTTGGCGCCGTACTACTATGGCCTGTGGTGCGCTATGACGCGCCTGCTTATGTGCAGTTGCCGTTTTTTCCCAGCCTGATGCTGCCTTTCGTGCTTCTGCAGTGCCGCGTACCAAGAGCGCCAGACTTCCAGCTCAATCGAGCGCGGTCGGTCCTTCCGACGGAGACAGTCAGCCCAGTACCAGCAGACGAGACGGAGACAGTGAGCCCAGAACCAGCAGGCGAAGAAGTTCCCAGCCAGGAAACTCGCAAAAAGCAAGTGTTGGGGCTATGATATTTTGAAAGTTGTGTAAACCCAATCCCCGCGCTTGAAGTGCGGAAAGGGGATGTGCAGACTTCAGCACATGCAAGAGGCTTGCAGGTTTCACCCAGCTTACGGACAGCAGCGCCGAAATGGGCACTGTGAAGAGGCTGCTCAACCATTTAGAGGCACCCCAACCTTTGGCAGTGTTCAATCACAACTGCAGTGAACTCGTAGAGGGCGTTTCACTAGCCACACTAGCCGCCTGTACTAGACGTAGCTTGGGTAATAATCAAGGGACATCTGGTTGAAAAAACGCTGTCCAACAAGGAATCTACTAGACAAATGGTCCCTTTACTAAGTAAATTCGCAGTCAGGTTTATCATGGACGGGAGGGTACCGGAAAAGGGAACCGAAAACTGAGGACATCGGCTGCGTGGCAATGCCGCTGATGCGGTGCTTGCGTCAGGCCAGGTTGCGGGGCCTTTTAGAGTTACCTATGCGTGGTTTCTCAAAATGGAATTCGGACCTTATGTGGGTTGGTTTTATAGGGAAACCCACAGGTACACCTGTTTTTTTACATCCCTTTGCGAAACACCCATAGCCAACTCGAAAGGGGAACCATTGCAGCCGAAAAGGTGACTAGTGATAATGTCCACTACTGTGGATGGACAAAATCCTGCACCACTTTGAAACCATGGTTGAAATGGTTACGTTTGTAGGTAGTTGCGTTGAATCAAATCGCCATCAGGGTTTCTGAGTTCGGTGGTGCGAGACTCGCGGATTCGATTCAATCCACAGAGGGTGTCCTCTTGGCGATCTTGAACCATCTTCCGGGCCAGAACCTTCCAGTGGGGAACTGCCGCTCATCGCTCATCGGCTTCTGGGACTTGGGGCGGTCAACATGATCTGGTTGAACAGAGTCACATGGCTCACACCTTCCAAGGAATTGCCGCTTACCGTGTGTTTTTGGGGGGGTTCCATGCTGCAGGTGAGTCACTGCCTTCAGGTTCCATGCTGCAGGTGCTCCATCCCAAATCAGTCGCACTTGCGTGGGAAGGTAGGCTTGGAGCCTGCGAAAGGAGCAGCCTGCCGACAGCCAAACAGCCAATGCTCTTTCCAGCCTTTTGATGTACAACTCAGTTGCTCAAAGCGAATCGACCTGAAATGACCTTTCCAACTGTTTGGGAACCATGTTTAGTCAAAAGATTAACCTTTTTGTTCCAGGTCCTTCGGGCAAGTAAGACAATTCTTGCGAAACATGGTTTTTGTTTGTGCCTGCCTGTTGTGATTCGCCAAGGGAGCGGTGCTCTTTTTTTGTTAACTCTTTTTGATCTTGCCGTTGGTGGACAAGCTGCGGCGTGTTTCCCAAGACAGGTGGAGCTTAAACATGGGTGGTTTCTTGTTGTTCCCTTCGCAAGAAAGAGGAGGGGTAAGCCGACCACAATACCTAAAGCGGCGACTCCATTCCCGAAAGGAAGCCCTCAGCAAGGGTCGAAGCGGGTCCTTGGGGTTTTCTTTGGCCCAAGCGCCTGGAGTCTCCTTCTGACCCATAAAAAATGGTTGGTCATTACCCAACAACATGGTTGGTCATTGACCTATTTTTCAAGGGTCAGAAGGAGACTCCAGGAACTTTCAACTTTGTGGTTGCGCAATGTCGAAAGCCTCAGGCCACCCTTGAAGCGGGGGTGAGCATGCTCTCAGCCATCACACCCCTGGTGGAGGCGCGAGATGTGTTGCTTTGCCCGTACTCCATCCTTATCTCAGGCTCTCATTTCTTGGGCGTGGGCCTCCATCTGTTTTTACAGCTTGCATATCGGGTACCAAAGGGTTTCGGGTGGCAATATCCCGGAGTTCAGATGCTTGCAACTTGGACCTGGAAACGGGAATCATCCAAAGCCGATTTCGACAAAAACGAAACAACGGTACATGACCAAGTCAGCGCGTGGACATTCTTCTTCCCAACATGTACGCGGCACTGCGGTGGCGGAAGGTGTGCAGAAGGGCTTGCCTGGAGGTTTTATCCTTCCCTGGAAAAACAGATTCCTCCTCAATGGACCCACTGCCAGGTGCCATGTTAGTGGGAGGAAGGGTGTGTGTTACAGCGACCATTGTAGCAGAAGCCCAAATTCAACTGCACTGTACCCGCGGAAGCAAACGTAATCAAAGCATGACCGTTTTTTCCCGCGGAAGCAACGGCGTGATTCATGCCGCGGAAGCTTGGCGGATCCGGTTGAATAATGTCAAACAAATGGCAGTGCTAAGCAAAAAGCAATGAGCTCACATGGCATGTGTGTGTTCATCTTGACTTCCTTTGAGCAGCTATCCAAATGACTGCTTTTGTTTTAAGACAGCCTATGGATGTCAAGGGAGTCGAGCTGCAGGAGTTCCATATGGTTGAGTTGATGTGGCTCGGACACCTCCAAATGGCTTCGATTTTCCTCTTTGTCCCTCTAAAACAACAAAAAGTATACCTGGAGTCTCCATGACCCATTTTGGGTAATGACCCACTTTTTACCGGTCATGGAGACTCCAGGTACCCTCAAACGAGAAAACAGACCCGTGCCGGCTTTCTTTTGACCGTCCAGAAGCAAGAGACCGCCGAAGCGTTTCCAGGGGAGCCTTGAAAGCCATCCAACCCGTGGACGTGGGGGGGGCAACCCATCTCCTGGAAACCGAGGGTTGAGCTCTTGCCTTCATGTTGAATTGGCGTGTCATCTTTGGGGGGAACCTGCTTTTGGTTGAGTTCAAAGCAAAAGGGGTTCCCTAATTTTGAGACAAAGCCAAATGGGCGCACAAGTCCTATCAGCAACCCGCAGCTTCCATTACCCGCCATTACCGGTGGAAAACATGCAGCCTGCGCCTTGAGTGTAATGCCAAGTGGACTTCCGGGAACCTCCTTCTTTGCCGAGATGAATTGTTTAAGCGACCGTTGACCTTTCAACTTTGCAGTTTTTGCAGCTTCAAGCCTTTTCCCACGAGTTGCAAGGGCGCTATGGCTCTTTGTAAAAATTTGGTCTCCCCAAAGAGCCTAGGAGCACCCCATGGGAAGCCCAGGCGCACCCCTAAGAAAGCCCGGAGCCCCTTCAGGCCCGGCCTGAGCTCTTCAGAGCGATGATCCGGGAGTTCTTTGTGCAGGCAAACGGGATGTTGTTCGTCGGTAAAGAACCGCGCAACCGGTTTCGTGTGGTTCGAAGATGGACATGGAGGCTTTATGAAGCCAAGAAGTCGATGGGGAAGGTGCACCACCCATTTTAGTCTATTTTAGTGGGGATTGGGATGTTCACTGGGGGTACCTGGAGTCTCCATGACCCGAAATAAAAATGGATCCATGACCAACCATGATTTTGGATAATGACTAACCATTTTTGAAGGTTCATGGAGACTCCAGGTGGAGGCTTTGTGAAGCAACGAAGTCGATGGGGCCAGTGTTCCAACCGTTCAGACATGTGTGTTGAGGTTCGGTGACGATATCCCGTTTCGTTTATGGTCAATTTGGGGGGTCGGGAGTCATTGAATGTCAGCCACAAAAAGCCAGAGGGCTCCCTCATTGTCCCAGGTATCAGTAAGCGAAAGTATGTTGACCGGTCAGGTCCATTGTGGCGTGCGACATGTTTATTACCTTGGATTGAAAAGCCAAATCTCGGTACCTGGAGTCTCCACAACCCTTCAAGAATGAGTCAACCCCATGATTTTGGGTAATGACCCCATGTTTTAAGGGTCAGAAGGAGACTCCATGCCATTCCTGGGGGTTCCTTGAAGGAATATCTTGGACGACTCATCTCCAAACTTTGCTCGCGCCAGTCCTTCGATCCGCCGGAGATGAAGCGGCTGAAGTTGAAGGCCTGTGAACTGGAAGGCGAAAGAGTCAGGGCGAAGTGGAAGCGAAGCCAAAGGGCGCTGCGCATCCGGACCCGTTTTCTGGAGTCCTTGCGGAGGTGTTTTTTTGTTGTTTGGCAGGAGTCCGTGCAGATCTAGTGGAGCAGTGACTGCCTTTGGATCCTTTTTGTCGTGTTGCACGGGCCTGCATGTCACTGTCTTGTTTTTTTCCCGAGGGTATCCTGAAGCCTTGAATGTTCAAGAAAAACCGAAGGAACACCTCCCCGTTTCGGGCGGGGGGGGGGAGTATACCCCACCCCACTTTGGCGCTGAAATCGTGTGTCGCAGGTGGTCGAAATCTTGGTGGATGAGACCAACGTGCAGCTGGTATTGAGGGAACTACAGGCGTGCCGTGCCTTTCAGCTGCCTCCGCGGTTGGCCTGCCCCCTGCCTGGAGTCTCCATGACCCAAAATAAAAATGGGTCAATGACCAACCATTATTTGGGGTGCGCAACCCTTTTTATTTTGGAGTGGGGACTCCAGGTGCTTTTGAAACCACCGCGCGATTGGGTTTTGGTTTGGGGATGGTCTGATTCAGAGACACCCCGATCCCGATCCCATTCCTGGAGCTTGGAATGGGGTGATCCCATTCCTGGGGATTTTCGGCCCCGCATTCGCCCAAGAAGGCCACCGCCAAAACATGCGACCGACACCAGGTGAGAGTTCTGCGCGTCTCAGGGCATGGATGCTGGTGCCATCTCAAAAAGCTGAGGCCACAGTCCAAAGATCTGAAGGGCCGTCACTTGGGAGCAGTCCTAATACTTGGAATCCCAAAAGGAGCTACAGCCATGAATCCACAGCAAGCCCTTTCGGAACCCACCTGGATGATTCAGCTGAAGGTTCCGAATTTCCAAGTCACAGGACCCCTCTCCGCCTTCCAGCTTCCAGCTCGAGCTTCGGATTTGTTTTTTTCAGGGGCTGCTTTTACTTTCGCCCGCTTTTCTCTTTGGCGCCTCGAAAACGCCTCGAAAACGCCACATCTCTGGGCGGGCGGCTGCAGGTCTACGTCTCCTGGCACTCCCAGCCACTCTTCGTGGCGCAGGCAGTCCGGTCCATCGCCCAAGTGGCGCTGAAGATCTCCTCGGTGCCGCCCCCCGCTCCCCTCCCGGGCCGTCCGCCTCGATCCCGGGGACCCGGGCGGGCGGCGATGGGCGAGATCCGAGAGACGCCTTGAACCTGTCAGCTCTTGGGAAAAACGAAAACCCTCTCGAGAAATCGGCGATCAAAAGGGTGGGGCATATTGGTGGCATGCTTGACCCCTGGCCGCTGGGGGCACTGGGTTGGGATGGCATTTTGGGGCTGGCAGTTCACCCGACACAAGTTTCAGGATGTCACTTTGGACCTGGTTGTTATCACCCACTGACCCGCCCCCCTGCCTTGAGGGGTTCTTCAAGGGAAGGGTAGGTTTGGGCATTGATTTCAAGGGAGAATGCCGCCTTTTTGTAGATCCCCTGTGAAAAGCCAAAAGGGCGGTGTGGCTGAGCAGGGTGTCCCATAGAGGCAATCCTTCGCGTGTGGAAAGCTCGTTGTGAATTTGCAAGATGCATTGATCCGAGGTTGAAATGATCATGAGGAACGGTCAGGACTTCAAGCACACTAGTGGTACGATGGAATCATCATTGAGATGGAGAGTAGAGAAACAAGAGCTGGTTTTAGTAATTTAGCTTGTCAAGAATAGTGATGAGGACTCAAAGGGCGATATTACACGATGCTGTTGTTTGTCTGGAAATTGGGTTGAGTACACTGGCATTGATTGACCCGCCATCCGAGCACCTCGCCCACGCTTCGCTTCAAGTCAGTGCCTCCTGTCCCTTGTGCTGAACCACCCGCGCTTTCGGTCAGGCCAAAAGGGGGGGCTGGGGCCATGGCTGAGTTGAAGCGCGCGTGATTGCAGAGTGCGGATGTTGGGACTTGGAACGAGACGCCGGACATCCGAGGGAATGATGGTCAGTCTACATTCCCTTCCAAACCAGGGGGCTCGCCCAAAGTTCCCGAAATCCATGAAACTATCGGTAAATCTCAGGATTGCCCGCGAATATTCTAGGGCACAGTTAGTCAAAACGGAGGTTGGGTTTAAAACTGCGTGTCGTTATGATTGTAGGGGACATGTATTGTGCATATATATATATATATATAAATAGATAAACACATGTGTCTTTTGGAGGAGCCCTCCAAAGTTTTTACCCCAATCTTACCCCTGCTCCATTGTCCCTTGTCATGCCCATGTCTGCTTATCATATTCTGAGCACGAAATGGTGCCTGAGCACGGGCAGTGGACAGGCTTTGCAATTTCGGACAACAACATTCATATATGAGGGGTGTCTTGGTTTGGACCCCCGTAACAAATATGTTGCTTTCCTCATGATTTTCCTTCAAAACAACAAAATCAAAATACCCTCAAAGAAGACAGGCCCATATTTTAACCCGTAGGCACCTGCATTTTGATCGTTTGCTTTCATCCACTCAATGTAAATCAAGTTCTACAACGAATTACCGACTCACACCAAGGGAACATACCACCCTCACAAGAACTGGAGATGTGTTTATTCTTCTAAAGGGGAGCGTGGTAGCAGCAGTTTGACCGGGTTCCCTGGTTCCGCTTGTGCTAAACATCACACCTTTTGGGGCAATTTTTGGCTGGCCCTCCGCCTTGCATTGGTGGGGGATTTGAAGCTCTGGTTCCTGTGGGAATGGGAAACCGCCTTGCCTCCAAGCCCAATGGATCTGTCGTTCTTTGTAGACCCCCAAAAATGGAAACCAACGTTCTTCTTTTTGGCTTCCCTACGTTAAAAAGAAAAGACACATAAAAACACGGATAAACCCAGTGCTTCCAGTTGCAACTACAATAAGTAGCCAGGGTTTCTTACCAGGTTTTTACCATGGATGGTTTCAACTTATCAACTATAGTGCCTTGCACGGAAGCACTGGGAAAGCCACAAAAAGCGGACACCCTCGAAAAGCAACCACTCCCAATGGTTGTGTCTTGAGATAGGGGAAACCGCGAAACAAGTGGTTACGTGTTGCTTTCCTTTTAGGTCATCTGTTGAAACTCAGATTGGTTTGGTTATAGATTTGAACCCCTGGTTCTTGTAGTTGGAACCACTTCCTCAAAACAAGCCAAACCGAGAAAGACGTTTCCCTTTGTTGCCCAGCGGTGCCCTTTGTTCCTTTTTTTCGGGTCAGGGTTCCGATTCCTGTAGACTCAACCAAAGCTCGGAGGTCGATCTCTTTTTTTCCCCATGGAAATCCACTGGGCATCTGAGTTCCTCGAAACAAGCCAGACCAAGGAGAAAGACGAGTTTCCGCCATGTTCTCACCCGAGAAAAGTGTGGGATTCGAGGTGATTGAGCGCAGGTGCCATGAGATCCTTGGAGCCAGCCTTCTCGGCCGCCCTGCGGCGCTTGCCCGGGGGCTGCTTCGCCAAGATGCCGCGGTCCCAGGCGCCGACTTCGATTTTGATGTCTGAGTGGAGGATCTTGGGGGGGGGGGGGGCGTTTTCGCGAGAAAAAGAGAAACAAAACAAACAAAAACGAGAAGGGGGCGACCCAACAACATGAATGGTTGCCCTTTTGATTTTCCACTGGTTGAACATGGTTTCTCCATGCTTCCCTTGGCCTTCCGTTGAGTTTGCTTTTGGTTTCCCCATGTCTCATTCTGGTTTTCCTTTTGCTACCTTTTGTTCCCTCTATTTTGTTCACCTCAAAATGTGCAGATTTCCGCTTCTTTGGGCTTCACTTAAACAACTCCAACAAGCCACTAGGCCTAGAGGCCCCAAGCCTTCCACAAACAGCCGGGGTTGTCTTGGGAACACGACTCCTTTTCGGGGTAGAGCGAAATCAACAGAAACCAAGCACCCCAAGCTAGGACTTGCGATCTGAGATCCTTCCGCGTGCTCGAAAGCTTTTTCAGGGGCCACGGCCACGTGTGCGTTTTTACCCATTCAGATTGCTTGGTAGCATTTGGTTTGCATGGATGGCTTTTGGGGTAACAGACTAACGTACCTCAGGTACGAAGTGATCCTTGGGGTTGAGTTGTGTCAAACTACGACTCTCGGTTTGAAATCTGCTGGTGCTGGAGGCCGGCTACTGGTTTCTCTTCAAAGCCAACTGAGCTGGAACACACTTGAGCCTGCGAAACCTGGGCTGTGATTGCACCACACTTGAATGTTGCTAAGAGATAGCATCTTCGGTGAATCAGGTGGCTGCACCATAGGTGTCCTTCTTAGATCAGTGTGGTTAGAAATAGATGGATTCCACTGGTTTAGATTGGTTTTATGCCCATTTACCAGCAGGACCCATCTATTTTACCAAAAAGACACCTATGGCCTCATCCAGTTGCGGACTTCTTGCAGAACAGTCAACGATACCGATTGCTTGCCAGGCCATGACAGCCCTTCCACCGCAGACGACTCTGAACAACATGTGCACGTACTTCCACCAATGGCCAAAGCACAAGCCCCTTGGCCAGAGCCGTGGCTATTCGCCATGTCATAGCGCACACCGCGCAAAACGTACGAGAGCGACTACATGCATTTGTGTGTGTGTGCCTGTGCCTGTGCCTGTGAATGTCCATGTGTGTGTGTGTGTGTGTGCGTGTGTGCGTGTGCCCGTGAATGTCCATGTGTGTCTGTGTGTGTGTGTGCGCGTGTGTGTGTGTGTGTGTGTGTGTGTGTGTGTGTGTGTGTGTGTGTGTGTGTGTGTGTGTGTGTGTGTGTGTGTGTGTGTGTGTGTGTGTGTGTGTTTGTTTGTTTGTTTGCTTGCTTGCTTGTTTGTTTGTTTGTTTGTTTGTTTGTGAGTGTGCGCGTGCGAGTCATCGATGTGGTGCATGATGCAAATGCGGTGCCTGCTGGCCATTCTAAACGCTTTGTACATGCTATGTGCTACACATGCGATTGTTTTGTGTCTCGTGTGTGTGTGTTGTGTGTGTGTGTGGGTGTCGTGTGTCCTGATGTGTCCTGCATTGTTCTACGTCTTGTGCGTGGTGCGTGGCGTGGTGCGAGAGTGTGTATGTGTTTTGTTTGGTGTGTTGTATGTTATGTGTGTGTGTGCGGTGTGTGGTGTGTGGCGCTTGGTGTGCGGCGCGTGGTGTGTGCGTGTTTTTTTTTTGGGGGGGGGGGGGGATTTTTTTGTTTTGTGTGTGTGTGTGTTTGTTTGATTGTTTGTGTGTGTGTGTGTTTGTTTGTTTGATTGTTTGTGTGTGTGTGCGTATTTGTGTGCGAATGCGTGTTTCTATTGTTGTGTCCGCCTGCGGTTGTTTGTGCGCGTGTGCGTGTTTGTGTGTATGTTTGTCTACGTTTCTTTATTTGTGTGCATGAGTGCATGTGTGAGTGTCTGTTGGTGTGATTGTGCGGGTGTGTATGTGTGTGCTGCTTGATTTGGCATGCTGAGTGAGTTGCTCATGTTCAGCAAATTGCCCTGGTGCATGCTTACTCCTTCCAAATCACAGTAAACCCTATTTGTTATGTTCAACATGCAAAAGTGAATTACGCGTGTCAGGCCTGTTCCAATTAACCCAACACAGGCAAATTGATGGAGAGGTAGTTTAAAGTTTAGGCCAGCGTAGGCTGCAAGTGCCTATGCGTTGTGGATAAGTCACTGCTCATGAAGCGCCAAACATAGCATACAAGTATGTGTTCATATTGTGCGCTGCTTATTTCAAATCAACTGTGACAGTGCAAGATATGCTTTGAAATTGGCGGCCTGCTGATAATTGCCGTTTCTGTGTTTACAGTTGCCGTGACAACACAATGGCCAAACCAAGGGATCGATTCAATCGATATCTCATGGAAGCAAAACAGGTTTTCCACACCGGACGGAAGCCTAGCACATCTACATGTCTGTAGTAGATGGTTTGCGCCGTCAGCTGCTGTCATTGATGCAACGCTCTATGTTTTTCTGTCACGGCCACGTAGTGAGCTTGCGCGGTGCTTTATGGCATAGATCATGTTTTTGTTAGCTTGCGACTGTCTTATGTAGGCTATTCGAGGTTTATTTGTGCCAAGGTCAATGTTCATCATCTACGGTGCTCGTCATGCGTCCTCGACCGCTGGTACGTACATGGCTGGCCGTATTCAGGCGTGGGCTTGAGCACGCAGAGCACTCTTAAGAGGAGACCCCGATGAATTTGGGCAGATGGATGAACACGGGGTCAACAAAAGAAACATTCTGCTCACTGCGGGTGATACGTGTTTAAAACGCTTCCTCCATTCACACTTGGAAGTTTGTTGGTGGTTTCTTTCATCCCCTTTGTGCCACGCAGGGAGATGCTGAGATCAATGGGGCTTCCGGCCTGGAAACCAGCATCTACGGCACATGCCCCAGAGGGGGCAATGTCAAGCAGCCATTCAACACTCGTGAACCCCGCCCTTGAAAATTGGGCCCATGTGTTCGACTGTTTCTCTAAGGGTCTCAAAGTCAGAAAGGGGGGTTTGCCTTTGACATACCATTGAGGGGGGTTCTTTGGCAAACAAAAACCGGGGCCAGAATTCACATGGAAGCCCCAAAAGGGGGGTCTCCCAACCGGAGATGCCTACGATGATCGCGGTTTAAGTTTCATGTTGAAGCTGCTGGTGTTAACTAAGCTGAGCTTTCAATATGGCTGTGGCTCAAAAAACCGGTACCAAAATCAAACCAGGGAAGTGGAAACATGGACCAAACCCTGCGTAACCCCTCCTGGTTGATTTTGAGCCACACCCATAATATAGGAATAGACCTGCAGACTGCTACTAGTATCAGCAGCACACCCTTTGTGTAACCAATGATGCTGCCCATTGTGCCCTGACAAAAGCTCGCACAACTCGTAAACTACTTGCTGTTATGTACACGTTTCCTTTCGAAAGAATCTTTCTTTAATGGCAGTTGATCCTCTCCGGGCCAGTACTCAGGGATCAAAACAGGTGTCACATCATGAACTGCACAGAATTGCTCTCTCTCTCTCTCTCTCTTCCTCTGTTTCTCTTCAATTTCGAAGGCACCATTGCGGAAGACGTTGATGTCTTCGATGACATTTGATGACCTCAAGAGGGTTTTGCATTGCAGATCTGACGTTTGACCAAACTCAGGTGGGTCTCACAGTGCCGCTGGCGCAGTGAACGGTGCAGAGGGGAAGACAGGACGCTTTGGGCGTGTTGCCATGGCCAGTCCAGCAGGGTTGATTAGAATTGGATTGATGCTTATCGGGGGCTGGTAACTTTCTGGGTCCCTCAAAGTGAAGACTGGCTCCCTCAAAGCGAACATTTTCAGGCATTCTCATAAGGTTACTGTTGGGGGTGTTTTTTCAACCGCCATGAGGGCAGTGTTGAGAGATGTTGGATCATGCGAGGTTCCTTTCATATTTTCTTGACCCTGTATGTTATGTAGTGAATGGTTAAACTGATATTAGAACCTGGGCCAAAGCCTTCCGCTCGGTCTCAGCATGTCTCAACCTGGGCCAAGCTCGAAGCGCAACCTGGTGCCGCCTTTCAACACAATTCCAGAAGTTGGCAGCCAGTTGTAAGACCCTGCACCAGGCGTTGCCTATGACTCACTTGGTGTATGTGGAGTGATTCTCACTTGAGTACTCCCCTGCAGATTAACCTAAGAAAGCCGCAAATCCCGTCATTGTGTAGAGGAATCTTCTTTTGGTGAATCCAAGCCTGGAAGAAACAAAGCTGGAAGCAATCCAAGCTCAACCAGACTGAGCCAAACCAAGCACCCTGTTTGGGGGTTCCACACGAACTTGTAAGGTGGTAGTATAACATATAAGGGGCAAAAGCGTCGTTGCCAATTCCATAGTTTTCTCTTTTTCTCCTCTGATCATGACCTAATGTGGTTTAAAACTACCCTGCAAGTCCAGCAAAATCAACAGTCAGAAGCAACTCCATGGGGTGTCCATCCTAATTGTTTAGGCCTGGCCTCCCCAGTGCTTCCACTTACCACTATAGTGGGTAACCAGAAGAAACCACCGTGCAAATCCCACAGGTAAAAATCCTGGTTACCTCCTTTAGTGCTGGTCGGACGCACTGGGCTCTACCTGGAGGCTCCTTCTGACCCGAAATAAAAATTTGGGTCAATGATCCGGCCCATGATTTTGGGTAGCGACCAACCATTTTGTAAGGGTCCTTAGGCAGATTCCAGGTATATTCCACATCTCCACGTTCTATATTCTACATCTCCATGTGGGTGTGGCTCAAAATTAACCAGGAGAAGTTACGCAGGTGTTGGTCCATTTTTCCACTTACCAGGGTTCCATTAGAGTCCCGGTGTTTTGAGCCACATCTCCAGGTGCCGTGTCCCGGGTCGCCCGTGTTTTGCAGGAGGCAACAAGGTCCAGGCAGACTCGATTCGATTCGGCGCCTTCGGTCCACATGGACTCGGGGTTTTGGAAGATACCCTGGAGCCCCACCCAGTGCTGTGGATGGAAATGCGAAATCCATCAAGCGCACCAGCAAACTCAGAACCGATTCCCCAACGGTAAATACCAACAAACGGTATGGTTTTTCCCACTGTTTTAAAGTGGCGCGAAATGGATTTTGTCCATCCACAGTAGGGAACCAGCAAAAACCAAGACTTAAAACCTGTCAGTCATGCCTGGTTACCTACTCGGAAGCACTGGGTCACTGTGAATGGAACACCGCAGGAACACCGAAAACCATGTGTTGGACTCACCTACTTTGACACCTGCCCACTTAGAGTCTATGTTTCAGACAGCTGAAAACCTAAACCACAAGCCTACAAACCTACAGCAGGCAATTGTAGACGATGTCCACGAGAAGGGATAACTTGATTTGACAATCAGTCGTGAGTGATCATTTTATCTCCCCCAACCTACGAGGATACATTTGGTGCAAGGTGGACAGTTCTCAGAACCCCTCGAAGAAACCTAAAACTTCAGATTTCTTGAGAACCGGGGCGGAGATACTCGCTGCCTCAGGGATGAAGTTTTAGTGGTTGAACCGGAAATGGAAAGCCAGAGCAAACCAAGCCTTCTTATTGTTGGGGTGCCCTATTTCTGAAGGTTGATCCCCCATTCCACGCACACGTGTTCTGTAGATTGGGTGATCAAAACTCCCTACGTGAGTCATTGTCATGGTTGTTTTAAAAGCAATTGACTGTCTAGTTCGGATATTTCAGAGGTTGGGATGACCATCCCTACCAATCCCACGTAAAGGATCAGGCAAGAAAGTGAACGTCGATCTCCAAAACATGCACTTCACAAGGACAACTGACACACATTTGGAGACCAACGATGACCTTCGAGGAATATCCACGTGTTTGCCTCCGAAGACCCAAAGACACCAACCTTGTGTTGAATCCAAATCCATTTTTCTATGTACTGTTACAATCAAAACCCAGGGTAGATGAAGGTGAGTAAAGGACGATCCCAAGCAATGGGCAGCCGTCTTTCTAACTCTTGCATGGTTCCGGGTAGGCCCTGTGAATACCAGGCGTTGATTGTGACTCACATTCCTGACCCCCAATCGCCCATGCCTTTTCCCATTTAGTGGTGAACTTTATCTTTTTGGGTGGTCTCCCTCATGGCCATCCCATGTTTGAGGGACCTTTTGATCAACCCCCGACAAAAATACTTGATGGACAGACTCCTGCAGTTGGGATTCATGAAATCCTATGAAGACTACCAACCTACCCTCCCACCTAATTGACATGGAACCTGACGGTTCGGGGTCCTGGTTTGGACCAGAACGGAACCAGGTCCCGAACGTCGGTTCCATGCTAATGTGTCTTTGTTAGGTGAGTTTTGCCAGGGAAGCCCAACCATTTTCCCAAAAAGAAACCAACCCACCAACCCACCAACTACCTACCAACCTACAACCCGGCGATTGAGCGAAATGGCTTTGGTTTGGAGACCCTTACAAACAAAACCCCGTTTTTTTTTAAAAAAAATATATATATTTTATTCTTAGTTTACAAAAAAAAGCACAACCAAACAAACAAAAACGGTGCCCCCCCCCGTCGCCCTTTTTTTTCTTTGTTTCGTAGGCCGCCGTGCGGCCGCTGGGCCTGGGAGGCCTGAAGCGCCGCTTCCAGCGGGGCGAGAAGCTCTCCATGGCCCGAGCCTCGCGAGCCTCGCGCGCCTCGCGAGCCGCCCTCGGCTTCGAAGGACGATTCGGTGGGGTCGTGCAGTCGAAATGGGGAAGCGTGGGGTGTTCCCGTGTTTCTCAAATTGACCTCAGGGGCCTTCAGGCAATGGAACCACTCCTAAGCCATGACCATGACACAGAGCTTTGACCATTCCAGGTTTTGTTCATCCCGGATGGTGGGTGTGCTTTTGGTTTCCCTTGAACACCATCCAAATGTTTTCTTTGGGTTTCCCTTTGAACAATGTTGAAACCATCCGAACGCTTCCTTTTGAAAGCCCTTTGAAACCATCCATCCAACACGGTGCCCCTATTTTGAGACAGACCCAAATGGGTGGGTCAATTTGTTGAGGCTACCCCGGTACGCCCTTTCAGGTGGTTTTACCGGGAGACCAAAGGGAGCACCTGACCATTTTGGGGGTCCGCATCCTAAAAAAGACAAACCCAACGGCAATGATTTTTCGCTGCCGGGTGGAGATGGCTCTACGAATTAAGCCAAGAAAAACATGGAACATGAAACAAAGCGCCCCTTAAAAGATCTCCATTTTGCAACCATTAATTTGAAGCATGGCTCTTTTCCACCGAAATAAAGGGAAGCTACCATAGGCAATGTTCCGGTGTGTAATGTAAGCATCCCTGTACCCCCGTGTTTTTTTGGGGGAAACCACAAGGAAAACTGTGTTCGATTGTTGTTTGGGATAAACCAATGCGTCTTTTTTTTTTTGGGGGGGGGGAACCACAAAGGACAATTGTGATCGTTGTTTTTTTCAATTCTACCCCGTCTTTTTTTGGGGGGGAAACCACAAAGAAGGAAAACGGTGTTCGATTATTTTTTTGAACAACCACGCCGTCTTTGGGGGGGGAACCACAAGGAAAACTGTATTTTTTGGAAACACCACCCCGTCTTTTTTTTGGGAGGGAAACCACAAGAAAAACTGTGTTCGATTGCTTTTTTGAAAAACCAACACCGTGTTGTTTTTTTGGGGGGGAACCACAAGGAAAGCTGTGTTCGATTTTTGTTTTGAAACACCACCCCGTCTTTTTTTGGGGGGAAACTTCGGAAACCACAAGGAAAACTGTGTTCTACTTTTACCAGGAATAATGTTTGCGATGTTTTGGGTTTAAAGGGAAACCACGAGGAACAACTGTGTTCGATTTTTTTTTGGAAATAAAAAGCGCCGTCTTTGCGGGGGGAACCACAAGGAAAACTGTGTTCGATTTGTTTGGGTCCCTCTGTTTTGAGACAGACCCGTATCTGGGTGTGGTCAAACAAAGATGTCCAAGCGTATTTCAAGGGTACCCTCTTTTGGAGAAGAAAAAGCAAAACACGACACTCTGGGTTTGTCGCAAAAGGGTACCCAAAAAATGGATTTCGGGTTATCCAAACTCAAAAAAGAAGCTTGTGTGTGTGTGTGTGTGTTTGTGCGCGCCTTGTTCTTGTTTTTGAGGTGCGGTACCCTGAGGGTGGGTCTAGCAGGAAACCAAGAGGAACACCGTAATCCTTGATTCGGTTTTATGTCGACGAACTATGTCGATGCCGGAGTGTGTTTGGGCGCTAAACGGGTGAACCCCGTGCCCAGCAAATGGGTTGGATGTGCATTTTGTGGATTGCTCCTGTTCTCCCTTGAGTTGCCGGCCTCTGTTTCAGCGTGTGGAGATTGTTTTTGCCCATGGACAGGAGAGTCATTAAGTTGAGATTCTATTTGCTTGTAAGCCCTAGTCAGCTTACTTCAGGAAGAGGTGGAAGCCACCCACTTTTCCTGGACAGTTGAGCTTATTTCGACATCCCATGGCTGACCACCAGGCTGAACAGTTGTTTCAGCGTCCCGAAAGCAGGGCCTCCCTTTCCCCAAATGCTATGGGTTCATGTATTTGCTGATTTTTTCGCACGCTCACCTGTGGGCAAAACGAGCTCACTATGAAGGGGATCTGATTCTTACTTCATATTTTGTAGTTATTGCAAACAAATGCAGATAATACAGGTCCCTCAAGGACTCAAGAAGCAACTGATTTTTCCAAGCCCCAAAGTCCCCACACTAAATCAGATGGGACGGTATGGAAGGAGGTGCCGCAAATACAGGACCAACCTGTACCATCAACATGTCATGTGCAGAAACACGGACCCCCCCATTTGGAATTATGGTATCCCCCCCCTTCCTGTGGAGTCGTTGGGTGATACTTTGCATGGGCGTAATGTTGCTGCACGTGGGATGGATGACACCCTAAACATGGGAGAACAAATCGCAACCAACGGGTGCGAAGCGGATTTTGCCCAGTACAGACCTATACCACCAACATTAGGGTGCCCTTTTTAGGTGGATGCACAGCAAACCCACGGCCAAAAAAAGCGACCCATTAGAAGAAGCATGAACCTTCCCCCCCTCTCCCTTCCGAGTCGTAGCTCTGCAATCCGCCATTGACTCGCCGCTTCTGAGGTCACTGCCTACGACTTCCCCTCGGGCCGCTTCGCGCGCCAGGCCGGTGTGGAGCTGGTCCTGGTGGGCGACAGTCGGAACCTCGGTCGAGGGCCTCGAAATGCCTGGCTTTGGGGTCTCCAAACCTGGACTGCTATTGGGTTGGACCTTTAGACTTTAACCTTTTGGGAAGTAAAGGTGTTTTCCACTAAACCCCAAAAAAGTTAAACTTTTTGCTAAGGAAAAGCCTTGCCAGTTGCATCTATTTAATTTTAGAGGTAGAGGAAGATCAGGAGGAACACCCTCGAGGTAAGACATTCCCTTTTCGGGTTTGTTGAAAGGGCAATCTATGGGATACTCATCCATGCTTTACGGATCATATACTGAGACAAACCCATTTGGGGTGAATTCAGGAGACACCCCAAATGGGTGAGAGCGGTCAGTTGAGCTACCAGGGTTGTCCGCAAGTCTTGCGCTTGCAGGCCTGCATGGGTGCGTATGTTTGTTTTTGTTTTTGCCTGCAGGGTGTCCCTTCAAAAAGCAACTGCCCCAACAACGAGTGCCCCGTTCTTCCGACGGCCACTGGGGGTCGAATGTCTAAGAACCGGACCCTTGCCGCAAGAGGGCACGCAAAATAGGTCGCGCCATGAAATACACACAGCGGCTGGCCCCGGCCTTGCTGCTCAAGACCTAAGGATGCCAATGTGCGCACCATCCTCTTTGCTGCTAGGTGTTTCGTCATTATAGTAGGTAACCAGGGGACACCGTGATGTAAGACCTAGAGGTACCGAAGGATTACCTGCTATAGTGGCAAATGGAAGCACTGGGTTAGCTATGCCTGGGTTGTTCAACTTTTTAGGAAAATCAGTTTCAAGCATAGCTATCCCAGTGCTTCCAGTTACCACTCTAGTGGCTAACTTTTCGGTATGGCTATATCTCTACGTTTTACATCATGGTGTCCCCTGCCTGGTTACCGACTATCGGCGAGACGCCAGTCGGAAGGCGTTTTTCTCGACACTGGGGATGCTAAACCAGAGTGCTGGTGGGCATCTTGTTGGAACCCTCTTGTTTACAGGTGTTACATCCATTTGCTTAACAATATATGTTGCCCTGTTGGTTTTGAAGGGAACCTATCACTACTGGACATAGTTGTTTTTTTCATTTTTGCAGGGGTCTTAACCAAATGGAAGGTTACATCCATTGAAGCCTCCTCCTCGTCCTTGTCCTGGTGGCCCAGGTCTGAACCCTGGCACCCTCCCCAAAACCGATCCGACGCCAGGATCGGGGGGTCCGCTGGCTTGGACCGTTTTCTCCCCCAAAAAAAAAAACGCGTGTCTGGCCTCCGCTTCTTGGGAGGCGAGCGGGTGTTTTTTCTCCGGGAGACGCGCTTCTTCTTCTTCTTTTTTCGGCGAAAGGGGCCGCCTATTTCAACACACGCAGGGTTTGCCACTGGCCCCGTTTCCAAGGTCTTGGGAACTGCCGGCCGGGCTCTCGGAACTTGAAGGCGGCGGATGGCGCGCTGGATTCCCTAAGTATTTGTCTTGTGATCTCAGGCCATGTTGGTTGGCTTAAAGGGGACCACCCAAAAGGAAAACAACATATTTTGGCAGGTGTGAGACCAACCCGAACCATGCAAGTAGCGGTTTGCAACAATTCAAAAGTCCTTATATATGTCGTTGCGGTCTGTAGTTAATTGAATTCTCCTCTACCTGTGTCTGGTGAGATAGACTGCAGGCACATGATGCAGCGTGCGATCAGCTGATGTCTTTTTGTTCAGGGTGCCGATTTTCTTTTGAAGTGGTTTACTTTTGAAGGGACTTTGGTGATTGGCCTAGGTCAGTTTGGTTGAACATAGCTCCCCTCCAGACGAACATGGACCCGCACCAACCGTTATGTTCAGAGCATTCCTGCCCCCAAAATGCCGCTACTATTTACATGATATCAATGGCCTGCAAGACGCAACGATGTGATTCGGTATGTCGTATTCGTATTGTTGCGACCGCCCACAAGAACTTTGGGTTCCAGGGGGGTCAGACCCAGCCGTCGAGCGCTCAGGCTGGGTCTGGCAGACACTGTGGGTGTGACCATGGAGGAGCTGTCTTTGATTGCCACAAGCCTGGGGACATGAGGGTTAGTGGCTGGGAACGTCCCAGCCAGAAATAGGTGCGAATCTCCGCCCTCTTGATGATTTGCATTGGGTGAACAATTTTCAAATTGGTATGTGCCAAATAGGTGTCCCTTTAAACCAAGCTGAAAACTAAGGAGGCCACGGTTCCTTTTTTGGTTTGTCTGTAGATGAGAAGGAGGTTCCCCCCCCCCCCAACAAAAAAATAACATGACATGGAGTGAAGTTGAATGAGGGACCTTATGGTGGACATCATTTGCATGGAGTTGTGTGCCCTAATGAAGTGATTCCTCATAGAAATTCATGGCCACATGGATTCTGTGAATGCTGGTGAATGGTCATTTGTGCAGACCGCGTTGAAACATCCAGACCCTGATTCCCACAGAAAACAGAAGAAACAAATGGCTGCAGTTGTCCTGTTGGTTCCCTTAGGGCAAAAGCAGCGGTTGCCAGCAAAGAAACAGTCAGGTGCCAGGTGTTTCTCGAAATTTTGGTTTTCCCATTGAACCATCCAAACGTCTCAAAACTAGGGACGTTAATGGCCTTTGTTGTTTTTTTTGTTTTAAGTCCTCCAGTTCCTTTGGTGTCCCATGAAACCATCAAAAAGACTCAACATATAGGGACGTTGGGTTCCTTTGTGGTTCCCCATTAAACAACGCAACATACTCGACATTTAGGGACGTTGGGTTCCTTTGTGTTTCCCCATTAAACCATCCAACACACTCAACATTTAGGGACATTGACTGTCTTTGTGTTTCCCCATTAAACCATGCAACAGACTCAACATTTAGGGACGTTGGGTTCCTTTGTGTTCCCCATTAAACCATGCAACAGACTAAGCATTTAGGGACGTTGAATTCAACAGACGCAACATTTAGGGACGTTGGGTTCCTTTGTGTTTCCCCATTAAACCATGCAACAGACTCAACATTTAGTGACGTTGACGTTGGGTTCCTTTGTGTTTCCCCATTAAACCATCCAAAACACTCAACATTTAGGGACGTTGAGTTCCTTTGTGTTTCTGCATGAAACCATGCAACAGACTCAACATTTAGGGACGTTGAGTTCCTTTGTGTTTCTTCATGAAACCATCCAAAAGACTCAACATTTAGGGACATTGACAAAGCAATACACATCAATAAAATCGAGTGGTATCGCGGAGCTTGCGGTACCGAACCGTATCGTCATCGAAACAGCCCTGCTAAATGTTGAGTCTGTTGCATGGTTTAGTGGGGAAACACAAAGACAGTCAATGTCCCTAAATGTTGAGTGTTTTGGATGGTTTAATGGGAAACACAAAGGAACCCAACGCCCCTAAATGTTGTTGCATGGTTTAGTGGGGAAACACAAAGACAGTCAATGTCCCTAAATGTTGAGTGTTTTGGATGGTTTAATGGGAAACACAAAGGAACCCAACGCCCCTAAATGTTGAGTCTGTTGCATGGTTCAATGGGAAACACAGAGGAACCCAACGTCCCTATATGTTGAGTCTGAACTTGCGATACAGCAGGGGAGTATTGAACAATATCTATAAAGGAATATACTCAACCGCTGCGGCGCTGCGGCTGCGCGCTGGTGTGCAAGCTGTGCTGCCAACAGGCCGGGAACCTCGAATTCGGTGTGTTGTGTCGCCAAAAGCCCGAAAGAAGCAAGAATCGAGCCTGCTCTTCTGCGGATGCTAGAACCAGACACCATCCACTACATCAAAGTACTTTTACAAGCCTCCTCAACAAAAGGTCTGAAACCGACATTACTTTTGGTGGAGTGGTTGCAGCTGTCCTGGATGAGCACTTCCCGAACCCTCAAAAACGATCTAACTTGCCGAGTTAGGTTGATTTCTGGCCTTGGCTGGTTGCAGCTGTCCTGGATGAGCCCTAAGAAGTGGGAACCCTCAAAAACGATCTAGCTCGCCGAGTTAGGTTGATTTCTGGCCTTGGCTGGTTGCAGCTGTCCCGGATGAGCCCTGAGAAGTGGGAACCCCCAAAAACGATCTAACTCGCCGAGTTAGGTTGATTTCTGGCCTTGGCTGGTTGCAGCTGTCCCGGATGAGCCCTGGGAAGTGGGAACCCTCAAAAACCATCTAACTCGCCGAGTTAGGTTGATTTCTGGCCTTGGCTGGTTGCAGCTGTCCCGGATGAGCCCTGAGAAGTGGGAACCCTCAAAAACGATCTAGCTCGCTGAGTTAGGTTGATTTCTGGCCTTGGCTGGTTGCAGCTGTCCTGGATGAGCCCTAAGAAGTGGGAACCCTCAAAAACGATCTAACTCGCCGAGTTAGGTTGATTTCTGGCCTTGGCTGGTTGCAGCTGTCCCGGATGAGCCCTGAGAAGTGGGAACCCTCAAAAACGATCTAACTCGCCGAGTTAGGTTGATTTCTGGCCTTGGCTGGTTGCAGCTGTCCCGGATGAGCCCTGGGAAGTGGGAACCCTCAAAAACGATCTAACTCGCCGAGTTAGGTTGATTTCTGGCCTTGGCTGGTTGCAGCTGTCCCGGATGAGCCCTGGGAAGTGGGAACCCCCAAAAACGATCTAACTCGCCGAGTTAGGTTGATTTCTGGCCTTGGCTGGTTGCAGCTGTCCGGATGAGCCCTGGGAAGTGTTCAACATGGAATCGGCTTGAAGCAGTCTCAGTCTGTTTTCTTGGCTTTCCATTTCTCCAAAGAGGGTCTCTTCTAAGCAGCCTCTCAAAGACTTTGCCAGCGCCTCCCGTGCCAGGCAGCCACCAGCACAGCAGCAGCTGGCTGCCGCCCTTCTGGCCCCAAAGGGCCCCTCAAAGCAAACCCCAACCGATACCGATACAAATCGGTATGATTCAAAACGATTTGCAGCGATAGTCTTCGATACGATGTGAGGTTGCGATACTTGCTTTTCGATACCGATAGCTCGCAATACGCAACGATACGATTCGGTATGTTGTATTTGTATTGTTGAAACGACCCTGTTTAGGGACGTTGGGTTCCTTTGTGTTTCCCCATTAAACCATGCAACAGACTAAACATTTAGGGACGTTGAATTCAACAGACTCAACATTTAGGGACGTTGGGTTCATTTGTGTTTCCCCATTAAACCATCCAAAAGACTCAATATTTAGGGATGTTGAATTCCTTTGTGTTTCCCCATTAAACCATGCAACAGACTCAACATTTAGGGACGTTGGGTTCCTCTGCGTTTCCCCATTGAACCATGCAACAGACTCAACATTTAGGGACGTTGAATTCCTTTGTGTTTCTCCATTAAACCATGCAACAGACTCAACATTTAGTGACGTTGACGTTGGGTTCCTTTGTGTTTCTCCATTAAACCATCCAAAACACGCAACATTTAGGGACGTTGAGTTCCTTTGTGTTTCCCCATTAAACCATGCAACAGACTCAACATTTAGGGACGTTGGGTTCCTTTGTGTTTCCCCGTTAAACCATGCAACAGACTCAACACTTAGGGATGTTGGGTTCCTTTGTGTTTCCCCATTAAACCATCCAAAACACTCAACATTTAGGGACGTTGAGTTCCTTTGTGTTTCCCCATTAAACCATCCAACACACTCAACATTTAGGGACGTTGAGTTCCTTTGTGTTTCTGCATGAAACCATGCAACAGACTCAACACTTAGGGATGTTGGGTTCCTTTGTGTTTCCCCATTAATCCATCCAAAAGACTCAACATTTAGGGGCGTTGGGTTCCTTTGTGTTTCCCCATTACACCATCCAACGTACTCGACATTTAGGGACGTTGAGTTCCTGTGTGTTTCTCCATGAAACCATCCAAAAGACTCAACATTTAGGGACGTTGAGTTCCTTTGTGTTTCTTCATTAAACCATCCAAAAGACTCAACATTTAGGGACGTTGGGTTCCTTTGTGTTTCTCCATGAAACCATCCAAAAGATTCAACAGGTAGGGACTTTTTAATTCCTAACATAAGAAAGACAGCACCAACAGAAAGAGTCCCTACAGTATGTGGAGAACCACCCCTTCGGCCGGAGGATATGCTTCGCGCCACCACGGCCGTGCGCCGCGGCGTGGACGCTGTGGGCGCCGCCACCTCGCCCAAGCCGCTGGTGGTTGGGGCCCGGACCCCCGGGCCCAGTGGGTTGCTTCCTTTCCTCATTTTTTTGGGTTGCCTTTGGTGGGTGTTCTTTCGGTTTTTGTTTGGTTCCCTTTGGCGGCGTTCTTTTTTTTAAAGTTCCCTTTTTGGATCGTTTGTTGGGGTGGCCCAGGGTGGGTTCCCTTTAAATTTCCCTAAGGATTCCGCCCTTTTTTCAACCCTGGTTCTTGGGACCCACCAAACCAGCTTCGCGTTGCTTTCCTTAGGCCTTTTGAAACCCGAAAACTCAGATTGGTTTGGTTTTAGATTGGTTCTAGGGGGTAGTTGGAAACCACTTCCGCGAATCAAGCACGGAGAAAGACAAGTTTCCTTTCGTTGCCCAGTGGATTCCGCAATTTGTTTGCAGTTTTTCCCCAAACAGCGCAGCATTGGGGTTCTAACTTGAGGTATAGAGAATGGGAAAGTGTGACGCCGGTTCCGCGTCCTGTTTTCCGCTTGTCTTCCTGTCTCCCATTCTCTCGGTCAGATGCCAGATGCCGTGACGGTGGCTGCAGGGTCGTGTCTCCCGCTTGTCTCCCTGTCTCCCAGTCTCTGCGGTCAGATGCCAGATGCTGTGACGCCGGCTCCGGGGTCGTGTCTCCCGCTTGTCTCCCTGTGTCTCCCAGTCTCTGCGGTGAGATGCGAGATGCTGTTGACGCTGGCTCCAGGGTCGTGTCTCCCGCTTGTCTCCCTGTGTCTCCCATCTCCCGTTTTTTGTGACGCTGGCTCTGGGGTCGTGTGTGACGCTGGCTCCGGGTCGTGTCTCCCGCTTGTCTCCCTGTATCTGGATGCCAGATGCTGTGACGCTGGCTCTGCGGTCGGATGCCAGATGCTGTGACGCCGGCTGTGGGGTCGTGTCTCCCGCTTGTCTCCCTGTGTCTCCCAGTCTCTGTGGTCAGAGGCCAGATGCTTGACGCTGGCTCCGGGGTCGTGTTTCCCGCTTTTCCCCCTGTGTCTCCCAGTGTCCGCGGTCAGATGCCAGATGCTGTGACGCTGGCTCCGGGTCGTGTCTCCCGCTTGTCTTTCTGTGTCTCCCAGTCTCCGCGGTCAGATGCCAGATGCTGTGACGCTGGCTCCGGGTCGTGTCTCCCGCTTGTCTTTCTGTGTCTCCCAGTCTCTGCGGTCGGATGACGCCGTCTCCGGGGTCTTGTCTCCCGCTTGTCCCAGTCCTGCTTGTCTCCTTGTGTCTGGAGGCCAGATGCTGGGTCGTGTCTCCCGCTTGTCTCCCAGTGTCTGCGGTCAGATTCTCCCACTTGTCTCCCTGTGTCTCCCAGTCTCTGCAAGTAGCACCAGCAAGTGGCGCTAGCAAGTTGCAGATGTGAGTTGCACTGGGAAGTTGCAGTGTGTTGCGGCAAGCGCTGCGCGCAGAGAGCTTGCTCAGACAACTTGCTCATTGAAACTTGTTCAGAGGAACTTGCTGAGAGAACTTGCTCAGATAATTTGTGCCAAGAACTTGCTTGGAGAACTTGCTCAAAGGAACTCGCGCCAACAACTTGCTCAGAGGAACTTGCGCAGAGAACTTGCTAGGATTACTTGGCGCTGTGCGCTGCTCATGCCTTCGGGCCACCCATCTTCTAGTCTCCTCTTGGTAGCATCACTGTAGTTCGATGACCCTTTCTTGTTGGCAGTGCTGTTGTAAACCTTGCCTCCTATCTTGTTGCCGGTATTTAGCGCCTTCTCAGTTGGATAGCCATGTGGCCCGGCCAAAATCATATCCAGTCTTTCGCTTCGTTAGCTGGTCCTGCGACGCTTTTTCCTCATTGCAACCTTTGTAACCCAGTCCCACTGACAAAGGCGTTTTGCTGAAGCATTTCACACCTTGCCAAGGTCGCAGCTTTGACATATCTCGTTGCCTCCTGACAGAAGGGTTGAAGACAGATTTCTCAGCCTTGTTTTCCACATATTCCGCAATATGGACGCTGCTGTTTTGCACGTGTCCGAAAGTGCCCAGGGCTTGCAAGTGCGGCCTCAAGGGTTTGCGTGGCGGGACGTCGTAAGGTGCCATTCTCTGAGACGCTAGCTTCCCTACAGTCTCTGGACCCATGGAACACCAAAGGGGTTCAACGTGAGCTGTATTGCATGGCGCTTGTCCGAGCAATTCCATTTCATTCTCGCAATCAACGTTCTTTTCCGAGACTTGAATTTGGCAGCTCCGGGCGAGATTCTGATTTACTTGCTCGCAGCATACGTGGCTTGTCGGGCAACCAAGCTGGAGGGATGTGCTGATAGCATCAAGACCACCGCTCACCGAAGCAACACGTGCTACAGACATGGCCCATCCATTTCTTCTTTGACGACACAGCTTGGCCACTACGCCTTGAACATCGATTCCGAGCCGTTCAAACAAAAGGTGTCGGTGCTGCTGGACACACTGCGTGCGTGGCGAACTCCCTAGCAACATTACGGAATGGCGGCTCTGGTGCTCAATGTGGCGATTGCAACAAGGACACACGGTCATGGCCATGTTTCGACACATGTTCGGTGGCTGTATAGTCTATAGTAAGAGTTGCTAACGCCGCCGCCGTGTTTGATGGTTTCTTGTTGGGGTCCCATCAACAAGAGCCGTTTCGCCAATCGCAGAGGGGCTTCCTGGCTTGGTGGTTTCCTGGTTACTTGCTCTTGGAGATCTGGTCCTATCGCAGAGAGGGACAAGCGAACACACAGTCAAGCAGGCGTGCTTATCATCTTGTTGCATTGTGGGGGGGGGTCCGAGCTCCAAGGATTTTTCTGAGCGGTTTCCAGAAAGAATTGTCCTGGAAGTAAGGCCTGGGTGAGTCGGGTCCCCGGCCAAACCATTAGCTCGTAAGAGTTGTTCGCGTCATCCCTGCACTTGTCGAGCTCTCCTCGAAAAACTTGGTTGATGCATAGGAGCCTTTTCCTGGCAACCTACTTCGCTGACCTTGACAACTTGGAAACAGTTCGCGAACCCGGCCAGTTGATTACAGTGCTGCTGGAGCTGAGTGAACGCAAGGCCCAGAAGTTGTTGCCAGCGGCGTGCATTGGAATGACGACCGCCGGTCGTTCACCACACATGTGAGCACCAATGTGCGAACCATAAGCGCCAACTCCACTGCGCAGCCAGCATTGGTAAGTTGGGGCAAAGTTCTCACGCGGTTCCGAGATGGAGCAGGGCTGGAGCTGACGTTCAAAGCCAAGCTTGTTCCAGAATGGATCGGCGTTGGGCACATGGAGCAAAGCCATGCGTTGGCCATCTTGGGAGCACGCGGCGCGCTGGACACGACAGAGATGAAGGGCCTGGATGACCAAGCTACTGCCGGCTCAAATACTGAGGATTTTCTGGAGCTGTGCCGGGTGACAGAGGTGCGGCGCGTGTCTGCGTTGCTAGGCGAGGATGTCCCGGCCGTAACGCTACAAGGCGCAGTCTGCAAGTTTATGCAAGTGCTCTGTTGCTTTTGCTTGTGGCAAGACCTTTAGCCGAGCTCGAGAAGAAGATAGCAATGGCATGTGTCCAGTCTCGGCCGCAAGCTGCTGAGACTGATGCGCAAGTTTCAGCAGAGTAGCGAGACGGCCACCAAATGCTGCGGTGATGGAAAAGTGCATTGAGTGTCCGTGCTATGAAAGATCCTTCGAAACTTCCTTTGATAATGCCAGGTGTTAGGTTGATTCACCCCGAATCCCCGGGGCCTTCACTCTCCAACATGCCATTGACATGGCATTTTCCCCCTTGAAGTCGATGAACAACATCGATGCTTTTACCCGGCGTCAAGGAGATGGATGGACCCGATTTGTCCTCTTCCCAAAAAAGGGGACTTCCTACAGGGACATACATAGACTGATTGGAAAAATGTGTTGCTCACAAAAGCTACTCAATTTTGCACCTTACATGAAGGAGACAAGCCTTTTTTGGGTTATACAGTTATACAGACCTGGCATGTTTTTTTGCTGTTTGGGGTCGAGGCTGGTGTAATTTTTTGGGTTTTGGGTTCCGGCGCCGATCCTTTTTCTCCCAAATCCACTGGGCGTCTGAGGAATTGAGGGCTGGGGAGCTGTCATATTTTTGGTTCCCACCCGGAGGAGGTACTGAGACTATTTTGGGATGGATCTATTATCTCAAGGGATCCGGGATGGGATGGATCTTTATGGACGGGGTTGGTAGGGACCCTCCCAGCTTTTATGGCTATTTGGTCGGATCTTTGGACTTTAACTTTTTGGGAGACAGAACATTTTCCATTCACCTGCAGTCGAGGGGCTCGGGGCTTCTTGGGCTTTTTTGGGGCTTTGAGGGATTTCTTTCCAAATCAAAGCCATTTCATATACTCACCGAGTTCCTGGACCTGATACTTTGTGGCAAGACCATTTTAGTGGCAAATACGAAGTTTAGACTTTTTGGCCAATTCACTCAGGAAGTGAGTAGGGTACACTCAATATGGAACAGAGTGTGAAGCTGTTGTTTTTGCGTGGTGGCAAATGTGAACCCTTGTTTAAGAAAATCGGGCTTGCAAATGGTGTTCATCCAGTTTGGGACTCGGGCCTTTTCTTTAACACGAAAAAAACTGACAGGAATTCAGCCATTTGAAGGGCTCCTCGTTTTGGGTGGGATGTTCGTACATGGATAGGGAGGGTATGCGGGTTGTGGTTGCCCCAACCAATCACACGGCGCTAAAGGTGTGTCTTTTTTGAGGGTACCTTTTTTTTTGGGTGGGCTTAAGGGAAACCAACAGGAACCTAAACATGCAGAATGGGGTGGTGCCCTTTGGGACACACCAAAGCCCTTGTCAGGTCCGTTTACTTGTGGCCTTTGATTCTTCAGCCTGGCCTGGGAAATAAGCATTGGCTGCCTCGGTTAGCAAAAGGGCGGTGTATCCCTCCCTTTATAAGAATAACACATGTTGCATTGCTTGCCTGCTGTTGTGTGTGTGTGTGTGTGTGTGTGTGTGTGTGTGTGTGTGTGTGCGTGTTGTTGTTTTTTTTTGGTGGGTTCATGCTGTGATTATTGTATTGGTTTGTTTGTTTACCTGTTTCATGCTGTTTGGTTTTGTGTGGTCCAGGTTGTGTGGGGTTGTGTTTGGTTTTGTCGTGTTGTTTTGTTCTATGCGTGCGGCGTTCATGCTGGTTGCTTTATGTTGTGTGTGTGTGGTTTGCTTTGTTTCATGTTGATTTTGTGTGCTTGATTTGTGGGCGGACTGGGCGGGAGGGCGGGCGGTCGGGCGGTGATTTTTGTTTTTGTTTTCTTCGGAAGCTGCATGTCTGCCATTGTTTGCCGTCGCGGTCAAAACCAGCTTATGTTGAAATGGCCATTGTCATCACTGAGGTAATGTTTACCCCCGTTCAATTAACCACCCCCATTAATAACAAGGGCGGGTATATTAGTCAGGGATCAGCCAGGCGTCCTGTATGTCCCTTTCAAACCAGTTTCAGCATCACTTTCTGAGCCATGTATATTGCGGAATCATGAGGAACCCTGTCGACAGGTTGAGTCGGACTGAAGCAGAGTCCTCCCCTGGCCAGGATATGCCATTTGGTGCGGCTCCCAGATGGGCAGTGGGACACCGCTTTTCAAAGAAGCGATAATAATCCAGCGCTCATGTACCCCAGTGCTTCCAGGCAAGCCACTATAGCAGGTAACCGATCTAGAGTGATAACTGGAAGCACTGGGGTACGCTGTTGAGCACTTCTGTTCAGAGGTGTGCTTGGTCACCTTGACAGATGTTGCTTGCGATCATGCACACCATTTTAGGGTACAGTTGCATGGGCACCACACGCTGATACTTTGCCAGCTTGCTCTAAGGCTCCTTCCTCACACAAGAAGATGCGCTTCGGAATGCTGCAGCATTTCGTGTTGCAGGCGCGAGACTTTTGTGAGATACCTGCAAATGGGCTGACAGTTGCTGCTACAGGAACATCCCTGTGGGCGTGTGTTCTCCATAAGGTAACCTTTTCTAGCTTGTGTTAAGGGAAGCCACTCATTGTGGAGGTTCCTCCAATTTGGAGGGAAGCCTATGTCATCTTCACAGCAAAACGTACGGATGCGCGCGACATCACTTTCCGAGGCCAGCTTTCCCCTGCACCCATGTATATAGTGTCACCGAATGAAGCAAGTCAACCCACCCATAGAGGAACACTTACCATGTCGTGTAGCAAGCCAACCCTGAACGCAACAAGGAGCGCTTCGTGCATTCAGCACGGAAGGGTCGCTCGATGTAGCAAGTAAACCTTGAGACCATTTAGGGTTGCCCATTTAGGGTAGCCCAAGATATGTCCCATCTGTCCTATCGGCGTTTGTGGTGATATTGTCAGGATGTCAGGATGTCATTTTTGGTGTTTTTTTGTTTGTTCCTTCTAAAGAACCCAACAAACGCAGGACTCCTTGGTTTCCTTTCGATGACCCCCGGAAACCAACGAATCTTCTGAACTTCCACATGGCCAATTCTCCACCTTTGAGCTAAAATGTGTCAGCTTAATTTTAACGCCTCCGGCTCAGGCCGCTGACATTACAGGCCTGCTTTCTTATTTGCGTCCCTTTGGAATTGTCCCCTTGCTTCCCTCCCCTCTAAGATCTTTTCCCCCCGTCCCCCCCTGAGATCTTCTCCCCCTTTTCCTCCCTAAGATCTTTCCCCCCTTTTCATGTTGAGATCCTTTCCCCCCTTTCCCCCCTACGGCCTTTTCCCCCTCTGAGATCTTCTCCCTTTTCCCCCCTATTCCCTGTTGAGATCCTTTCCCCCCATTTTCCCTAAGGCCTTTCCCCCCTTGAGATCTTCTCCCTTTTCCTCCCTAAGATCTTTTCCCCCCTTTCCCTGTTGAGATCCTGTCCCCCCTTTCCCCCCGATGGCCTTTTCACCCCCTGAGATCTTGTCCCCCTAAGGCTTTTTCCTCCGCTGAGATCTTCTCCCTTTTCCTCCCTAAGATCTTTTCTCCCCTTTCCCTGTTGAGATCCTTTCCCCCCTTTCCCCCCTAAGGCCTTTTCCTCCCCTGAGACCTTTTCCTCCCTAAGATCTTTTTCACCCTTTCCCTGTTGAGATCCTTTCCCCCCTTTCCCCCCTTTCCCCCCTAAGGCCTTCCCATGCCCTGAGATCTTCCTCCCTAAGATCTTTCCCCCCCTTTCCCTGTTGAGATCCTTTCCCCCCTTTCCCCCCTAAGGCCTTCCCATGCCCTGAGATCTTCTCCCCTTCCTCCCTAAGATCTTTCTCCCCTTTCCCTGTTGAGATCCTTCCCCCCCTTCCCTTTTCCTCCTCCCCCCTTTCCCTGTTGAGATCCCCCTGTCCCCCCTAAGGCCTTTTCCCCCCTGAGATCTTCTCCTTTTTCCTCCCTAAGATCTTTTCCTGCCTGAGATCTTCTCCCTGTTCCTGCCAAAGGATCTTTTGCCCCCTTTCACTGTTGAGATCCTTTCCCCCCTTTCCCCCCTAAGGCATTTTCCCCCCCTGAGACCTTTTCCTCCCTAAGATATTTTTCACCCTTTCCCTGTTGAGATCCTTTCCCCCCTTTCCCCCCTAAGGCCTTTTCCCCCCTGAGATGTTCTCCCTTTTCCTCCCTAAGATCTTTTCCCCCCTTTCCCTGTTGAGATCCTTTCCCCCCTTTCCCCCCAAAGGCCTTTTCCCCCCTGAGATTTTCTCCCTTTTCCTCCCTAAGATATTTTCCCCCTTTCCCTGTTGAGATCCTTTCCCCCATTTCGAAGTGAAATGAAGGAAAATTCAATAAAACGGACATGAAGGGAAGTGAAGGAAAGTGAAGGGAATTGAAGATCTGAAGGGGGTAAGGAGAGGGGTAACAGGTAAAGAGGTAAGGAGCATTTCTTATGTCCAACACGTCGGCGAATATAAACTCCAGTAAAGAACGGCCATTTCCAGGACCAGCTCCTAGATGTTGTTTTTGAAGCTCGTCGTGGCCGAGTCTCCGAGTTTTCCTTCGGAGTGCTCAAAACGACGCCCTGCAGCCAGGCGCGGACGTGGTGAAGCTGGAGGGCGGCAGCCTGGAGCTTGCGAAGCGGTCGTGCAGTCAAAATGGGAAAGTGGGGTGTTTCTCAAATTGGGGACCTCAGGTGCCTTCAGCCAATGGAACAAATCCTAAGGAAGCCATGACCATGACACAGAGCTTTGACCATTCCAGGTTTTTTTCATCCCGGATGGTGGTGGGTGTCCTTTCGGTTTCCCTTGAACACCATCCAAATGTTTTCTTTGGGTTTTCTCTTTGAAACATGTTGAAACCATCCGAACGCTTCCTTTTGAAAGCCCTTTGAAACCATCCAACACGGGTGCCCCTATTTTGAGACAGACCCAAATGGGTGGGTCAATTTGTTGAGGCTACCCCAGTACGCCCTTTTACGTGGTTTTACCGGGAGACCAAAGGGAGCACCTGACCATTTTGGGGGTCAGCATCCAAAAAAACAAACCAACAGCAAGGTTCTTTCGCTCCCGGCTGGAGATGGCTCTACGAATTAAGCCACAAAAACATGGAACAGGGATCCTTAGAAGATACATTTGGAATCATTTGAAACATGGCCTTTTCCACCAAAATAAAGGGAAACCACCATTTACAAGGCAATGTTCAGGTGTATAATCCCGCCCTAAATGTTTGCCAGAGGGTCCCTCAGGTCTCTGGACAAATGGCATCGCGACGTCACGGTTTTGTTGGGGGGCGTTGCGACAAAGCTTGCTTGGGGGTCTATTTCTTTTAGGAATATGCGTCCTACTTTGGTGGACATCATTTCGGCGGAGCTTCATGCCGCCAAGCACTTTGGAGGTCGTTCCTGATTAGCATTGCTAGCTGTATTCTAATTTGCCCCGGAATGAACTTGATATTGGGTTTGGAGTCCTGAAACCGCCTAGACAGTTGCGGCTTTTTGGTTCCAAGTGTGTGGGGGAAGTGGCGCCAGTGTGGACACAGGTCACTTTTTCGAGCTCCAGCAAAAAGAAAGTACGCAAGAAAAGAAAGGGTTTCAGGCAACGTGTCGCACATGGCGGGGAAGACTTCTTTGGGTTTGGGTTCCTGTCTGGCCAAATGTGGTTCGGGACTGTCCCGACACCGAAGCTGCATGCGTCTAGGGGCCTACCTTGCCTTTCGGAACGGATTGCCCAAGCCGCTATTGCCCGTTTTAGTGGTTCCACTACACCTCACGTTTGATTTGGGAGTGTAGTACTACATATGTCCTACATCGGGTTGTCTCTTTTTGAGGCTACCCCCTTTTAGTTGGCTTTAAAGGGAATCCACAAGGAAAACCACCATTTTGTGAGGGGGGGTCCTCTAATAGGTTTAAGAAGACACACCCATATAAACCTTATAGCCGTGTCGGTAGAACCACAATGGTTTTTTGGGCACTCTCTGGTGGTCACAACTGCTGAGGTCACCTTGCCGCGCTGGTGAGGCTGCTCACGAAGGTCGTCACCTTAGGGCAAAACCCGGCGGCACTGCGGTCCGAAAAGGCGCCAACCCCCAGATGTCGCGTCGACTGAGGCTGGCATCCCTGTAATGAGCCACATCGGCCTCGAGCCGCAAAAGGTCGGGAGCCCAGGCCGGACTTGAAACTGGGGGGGTTTGGAAGAAATTGAGGTCTTCCCCCCCCCAAAAAAATGGGGGGCCAAGAACAAATGAAATGGCTTCCCCTTGAAGTTTCCTTGGCGATTAGCTTGAGAAAGGGTGCCAGTGGACAAAAGGGTTTTTGAGGGTACACTTTTCTAGTTAGGCGGATTGGCTTATTTGATCCTTTCTGAACATTGGGGGGCTTCACACTATTGATGAACACAATCTTCTGCAGTCTGCCTTCAAAGGACAACATGCAAAGCACCAGGGTCGAAGCTTAGAGTTTTTTTGATTAGTCGCATGGATGATTGTCAAAACAAGTTTGTATAGCGGGGGAACCCGCAACTCTGTTTTGTTGCAGGTTCTTCATGTGTTGTTCCTTGTGTTTGCAGGATCTTCAAGGACACCATGTTTTCTTGCGGAAAAGACTTGTTTCAAACGGGGCTTTACAAGAAGAACAACAAGAATAGTGGTTTGGGGTTTTCCCACACTAGCGGGGTTCACATCCGCCGTAGACTTGTCCGCTTGAGTTTGTCTTCAAGCGGAAGCTTCAACATGGGCTCCCAAGCTTGACAAGGCCCTTTATGGCTGTTTGGTTGGATCTTTGGACTTGAATCTTTTGGGAAACAGCGAATGTTCCCATGGGACCCACAAAAAGTGCTGCACAGGGGTCAACAGCAACCAAGAGAACAAATGTAGCTGTGTTGTATTGTGCAGGAATTTTTGACGTGTCAAGTATGGACATCTACCCTTCCCATTAACACGGCACCTGTAGGGCACCCGGAAGATCAGCTTCCTCTTGGCGGGAGTCTCTGTGAGGTGCTATGTGGGAGTCAGGGTATCAACTCCCTTCCGAAAATAAGCCAAAGCCGGATCCCCGGGTCCCCGATCCTCCAGCATCCCAGGCACTGCTGCAAGGTGGTTTTCGACTACAAGGCATGGGCTAAGATGGTCTACCTGGAGTCTCCTTCTGACCCTTAAATAATGGTTGGTCATTACCCAAAATAATGGGGTCATTGACCCATTTGTTCAGGGTCATGGAGATTCCAGGTAGCCGTGATTCAGAGCCACAGTTGGAGCCAAGGGAAGGGGGATTGTTGTCCCAAATTGTCTCTCACTCGTCACCAGGCTCCCTTTCTGGCTCTAAAAATTGCGGCGATGAAGACATCTTTCTTTCAAGGGTCCAAAGGGGTGATGATTTCATGCGGAGCCGTTCAGGCACCACGGCCACGAGTGCCATGGAAATCGTCTCAGATGCGAAGGACGGTTCAGCCGGCGCTTGAAAGGAAAGGGGAAGCAACCCCTAGAAATTCGTTGAAGACCTGCCATGGGGAAGGGGTTGATTATCCAACCAATGGAACATGGAACTAGACATGTTATTATCATTATCATTGTCATTGATACTGTGGATGGACAGAATCCTACACCACTTTGAAACCATGGGAAACGTCACCATTGCTTGTTGGTATTTACAGGGGAATCATGATTGGAGGGTTTCTTGGGTGGTGCGAGACGGATTTCGTCCATCCACAGTAGTTCACCCTTGCCGTGGCTCGGCTCCTTGCAACCATTGGCGGGGCAGGAGCTGATTGGTGCTGGAGCAGTGCTACTGGTGGTGGAGATGGTGCCGGAAGAGGCCGCCGGCAACTGTCCGAACCAATCGGACCTCTCCAAAGCCCTCCAAGAAAAGTAATTAGTTTACAACAAGGTTCCTGGTAGCTTCCATGCGGGTCTGTCTTTTTTTGCTGGTATCCCTTTTGGATGGTTTTACCTGAAAACCAACAGGAAGCCCTATTTTGAGACACAGCCATGTATGTTTGACATTGTTCAACAGTTGAGTGCTGGTTCCATGTTAGACTCGTTGGCGCGGGTAAGTCACGCTCGGATGTTTCCGGGCCCAAAGGATTTCTGTGTTTACCTGTCCAAGAATGGAGCAATATAAATGCTGCTCGCTTAAAGCAGGTTGGTACTACACCGTGTTTACATTTCTTCCAACATAATATGTCCAGTCGGCCTGATTGTGTCACTTGGTTTTGCTTTGTCCGAATTCCCTGGTGTGCCTTGATGCTTTGTAATCACAGTACTCCGTGAGTTAATGGAACATCTACCTTTTGGGCCACCATGTCAGTGGTAAACAAGCAATTCAGACTTTTTGCGGCCAATCCACGGAATCAGTGAGTTTGTAGAGCCTCGAGTGTTGTGTGCATGACTGGCAGCGCGAGTTTGTATGCACAGGTGGGGTCTGCAGCCGGCTCCTCAGCATGGGCTAGTTTCTTTGTGTTTTTTTTTTCTCGCATCTCGCTTACACAATCCTTGCTTCTAGTACCGGTAATTTGGCGGCGATTGCATTATTCGGTGAAACGGAGCACGTCGAAACTGGGACAAGGGGGTCGGTTTTCCAAGGAGGAAACCATTTGAGAAGTCCAACTGTTGGAGACCCCATTCACATGTGTGGCGTTGAGGCCTCCCGTTCAACCAGTCCCTCCAAAGGAACCTTAGCCTTTCTTCCAGGGGTCGGTAAAGGAAAACCAGCAGCAGCTTTTTGAAAAAAAAAAGTAAGCCAGGTGGTAAGCCAGGGCTAAGCCAAGGCTCGGCAGCTTCTGGCAAGAATCCTTCGGCGATTCCGCAGCTTGAAACAGTGGGTTAGAACATGTCTAAGCCACGGCCCAAGCGGGCAGATCCTTCGCCGAAGCGATTCAGCCCGCGCCTGGCTTGAAACAGAGTCCTAAGCCGCGAGGTACAGGCCTCCATCCCTGACACCCCGGTGATTGGGATCGGCGCCGGCGGCAAAGTCGCTGGCCAGGCGCTTCCGCTCGCGTCGAACTGCGCGTCGCTCGCGAAGTTGGCTTTCCGGGAGGGAGGGATCGGGGAGCGAGGCTTCCTGGAGTCTTCATGACCCATAATACCTCCCCTTTTGGCTTCCTCTTGAGAAAACTAAATACCTGGAGTCTGCTTCTGACCCGAAATAAAATGGGTCAATGACCATTTATTTTGGGTAAGGACCAACCATTTTGAAAGGGTCATGGAGACTCTAGGTTGCTTGCATCTCAGGTGCCGGCAAATCGAACTGATCTGACCTTTTGTTTTTCCCCCCCCCATTTCGGCAACCAGTTTTAGTAGAGGTTCCAAAAGGTGATCAGTGATCACATTTTATTTCCAGGTCACTAAGGGGCAAGTGGGGAATGGGCTCCCCTTTTTTTTGACCCCCCCCATTATTTTTTTGACCCCCCTCCCTTTTTCTAACCCCCCCCACAGTAGCATACCAACCCCCCCCATCTCTTTTTTAACCCCCCCCCCGCTTGTCTACCCCTTTTCCCTTTATTTGACCACTTCCACAATATCCCCACATTTAACATCGGAACCATCATTTTTGTTGACCCCCCTTATTTATCATACTAACCACCCCATCTCTTTTTCACCCCCCCCCCCCCGCGTG